TTCGTTAGGTAGTTCTATCATTTTGAATTCAATTTGAATGAACTAGAAATTAAAATTTATGCCAAGTTTTATTAAATTTTAGCGAATAACGATAAATGATGAACTAAAAAAGTTAATAAAACATTAGCTTGGTGTGATACAAAATTAATTAGGGCTTATTTGGAGTCAGCCAATCAAAATGTTGTCGACATTCACGTGGATACTTTGAACTGCGCACCCAGAGTGTCGACGAAAGCTGTGAGCAACATTTCTCGGTTTTCTTTTTAAAATGAATTCACTTTAATCCATACCCTTTTAACGCAGCATTCATATATGTGTGTTGAGTTGCTCTTTCCATCTTGTTATTATATAATACACATTAATTTGGTAAGTAGAAAATTAAAACTTTTGCCAAAATTGCAAATGTTTTATGAAAGATTTTTCGCAGTAACATAATATTATAAATTTATAACAAACAATCAAATATAAAATAATCAAAAAATTGTGTACAGTTTGTTAAGATAATAAATATATTATTCCTAAATAAATTACGTATATTTAGGTAATGAAAATTAAAAAGTTTTAACTACCTAACAAAATTTGAAATTTGTAATTTGATGATGTTCAATTTAAGAATAATAAATCAGAAAAAGTATAAATATAATTTTTAAACTCATATTTTTGCTATTCCTATCCGCCTTCATTTCTCTTATCAGTACCATTAACTCCAAGGTCAGATGCAGATTGCGAAACATTGGTAATGGGAGTTTTTAATTGTCTCCGAATATTATTATTATGTTGTTGATCATCTGTAATTTCGTCATTTGTTTCATTGTTCGTAGTTACCGGTGATAAAATAGCAATTTCTTGAAGTTCCGTATTATTTATAATTTTGTATTCTTTTGATTTACTCATGCAGAGAAGAAACCTGCAACCACAACCACAAAAACAGACAATCACTAATGAAAAATTAGCTATTAAAAAGATATATACTCCATCGTTCTCGCCTAATACCAGCAAAACGATTTCAGAAATAAGAAAAAGTAAGCCACAAAAACACGATGTTACTCCTACAGAATCACTGGCTGTGAAAGGATGTTTTTTTCCACTTCGATCATTTGGCACAATAACAATGTCTATTTCTTTAAATGTTTCCATAGAATACAAAACTATAGGATTCTTTATCTATAAATTTGCTTTATATTTTCGTCAAAACCAATTGTTCGGAGTAAGCGACTATGTGTAATGTCATAATTTTCCTTTTTTGAGTGATGATTTAAAGGCTAATCAGATTTTTATGGTTGTTGCGGTTTCACCATTTGCAATATAATGTGTCGCACTAGATGCATTCAGCCTTGCTAAACAACTTAGAGTGGTGTTAGAGTCGAGCAAAAAATGACGACTCATATAATATGCCAATAAATGTAAAATTTCTTTCTTTTGAATATATTTAAAAAAAGGATATTATAGTCTTATTGTACAACATACACATCGTAATTGTTTGTAGCATATTCACATTTTGAAATAATAAATAAGCATTTGAATGCTATTGTTAGAATGAATACGTACCATAGTTATGTCACTAAAAATTATCTGTCCAATGATTTCTAGCTAATC